GATGTCTGCGGTCGTGTGGAAGATGGATTCTGGGGTAAAAATCAGGGAGCTGGGGACTTTTCACCGCAGGTCCAGTCATTCACTTCAATCAGATGCTCATTCCTGTGCTCGCGCTATAAATAGTTTGCAAACTTCTAATGTGTGCCGACCACTATGATGGGTGTTGGGCACATGACAAAGATGCGGTTGTCGTGCAGGTGGCTCTAACTCAGGGCCACCGCATGTGTGTCAGAGGAGGGCTGTGGCCCATCGTGCTGTCAGTGGTTGATATTTCAGTCATGGTTTGCCAGGCTTTTCTTCTTAGCAGCCTGTGGGTGGACCTGAACTTCCAACCTGTATGGTGACAGTGGGACGCATTAACCAATTGTACCAAGTGGGGCTGCCTCCTTCCTGGATTGTTATTCTGAACTGTAAACACATGTGTGTCAGATGTTGTGAAGTGAAAAAAGAGAGGCAGAGGTGCAGCCTCAGACGGATGAGCAAAGACAGTTTTCCTGACGACGTAGCATTTATGTAAAGACATCAGTGAAGCTATGTGGCGATTTCTGGTTTTCTGGGTAAAGGCCCTGCAGTGGGAGCTGTAGCTAAACCTGTAAATAATCTTAATCACTGATATTTTCAAATGAGTCAGAAAGACATTAAATCCTAAAAAAAAAAAAAAAGAACTTTGTGCCTAAAATACATATGGAATGACTACTTTCGGAAAGCATAAGTGGAGTGTGATCATCCGCAAAGAGCTTAAATACATCTCATGATGCTGTACACAAATGCCCTTCGGAATGGGAAGTAAAGCTATCATTGTACAGCTTTTCATGTGTTCTGTCCCTGCACCAGTACCTCAAAATAAACTCTGAAGAACAAGTCCCACCCAGGACACGAAGCATCAGGTGCCTTTCTTGCTTTCAAAAAGTAATGTTTCACATTGTCTGTATTGGTCATGTAGTATTGCACTCAAAATCCTTCGGCTACTTCAAATCTTATGAGCGACGTTGGCAAAATAATGCTATTCTATCCCTGATGGCATGGACTATACCATGCTGGCAGAGACAAAACGAGGAAGACCTTTTGCAAGAAGGATTGAGGCAGGATCTGCAAGAACGGGCTCAGACATAATGAGAACTGGGGCAGTGCTTCGTTCTGTTTGCGGCCCACAGGGTCAGTGTGGATCGGAGTTCCTGCGATGGCACTGACCCACCACAACTACGTGGACTAGCTCACACCTGCTACCCAGACAGCTCACAAGGTTAAGGACTTTTACAACGGACACCTGGGGGAAAAAATGAGGTATGACCCAGAAGCCTCAAAACAACCAAAACAAACAAACAAAACCAGCTTTAGAACTTATCTTAAAGATAAGACATATTTTATGTGTTTAGTCTACACATTGATTTTGCACTATTTTGATTGTGGAGAATCATTTTTACTTAAGCATTCTTCCAACACTATTTTGCTTTGCCTTAAATGTCAGGGAGATGGCTAGGGTCACTTGTTGTAAATATCGTATTGATCGCTCGATGGTTTGTACCTGTCACTTTCACGTGCCACAAAAACAAAGTGGACATTTGTAATTCTTAACTCTAAAAATTTTGAAATGGAAACTCTATAGACATCTTGAAATAAAAAATATTTCTAAACAATGCCTACACTTTAGCGTACACTGCCCTTCGTACGCACCACTTCCAACCTAATTGATTCCATGTTCCAGCTGCCGTTGTACAGCCTTGATTTATAAGGGTTTTGAAATCAAATTCCACACGCACAGACTCAATCTCGTTTGCAAGATATATTCACATTGCATTGGTTCTAAGCTGCAAACTATCCACATCTGCATATGTACTTATGAATGAGTCAACACGTCAGGAAGAACCATTACTACAAATCATTGCCAGGCTCTTTGCATCAACAGACATTGAGTGGAGTCATCAATACAGGGTGACAAGTTTCAGCTCCATGAGCCCTTTCGGGGACAGCTGCTCCATCAATTGGGGGCAGCGGCGCCAGTGGGTTGTACTTACTGATCTCTGTTGCTATCACAGTGATGTTGTGCCACAGCAGCGTTTCTCGGTCAAGGAGTTTTGATGTAAAGATGGAACCATTTCCAGAATCAATGTTGAATATTCGGTCCATATCTGTGTGACGATCGACAGAGTACCTGGAAATGAGAAAAAGCATTTAGAAAGGTTTTCTCTGTATTTGCTATTCTTGCCTCTTGAAACGATTTACACTGTAGTTGTTACATGAGTGATTTTTTTTCCTACCCATATTGCCTATTTGCCTATGTTTAACAGCATTATTCAACATTTTCACAGAAACGAGTTCTTTACCACTGAGGTTTTAAGAATCAACCCATGAGACATGTTAGAAGATTTTGAGAATCACCACTCCCATTACCTTTTTAAAGATGAAATTTAGATCCAGCTAATGTTGTAATGATGAGATTTTAATGTAAGATTCTAGAACCTCAGAATTTTAATGTGTGTGGGGGGCAGGGGAATATCACAATCTAATAATTCTTAACACAGATTGATTGAGCTGCCACACACTGACCGGTGAGGAATAAAAACAGGATTTGAGGAGCATCCTAAGGTTCATTTTTGATATATTAAGAAGATCCCAGGGGAGATAGCTGATCCGAGAGGCAAGATAAAGTTCTTGATTGACAAAGTAAGATATCGAAGTAAGATCAGAGTGCTCCAATTGATGTATATATGGATTGTGATAAGAGTTGGATGAGCCCCTAATAAAATGATTAAAAAAAAAAAAGATCAGAGTGCTCTTTAGAGGCGAGAATGGCAAGTCTTCGTTTCACGTACTGTAGACAAATGACCAGGGAAGAGCAGCTCTTGGAGAAGAATATCATAGTTGGTAAAGTGGAGGGGCAGCAAACCAGAGGAAGGTCCTCAACCAGATGGCACGACACAGCGACTGCAGCAGTGGGCCCAGCACAAGAAGCGTTTTGAGGACGGCCCAGGGCTGCAAGGTGTTTCCTTGTGTTGTACACAGGGTGGCTATGAGCCGGAGCTGATTCAGTGACGCCTGCCAACAGCAAGGGACTTACTTGATCATCTTCCTTCATTTTTAATTTGAAAATGATGACTGTTTACAGCATGTAATTACCAAAGAAGGAAATCTCAATCTTCCTAGACTTTGCAAGAAATTTATAATTATCTACACACATTTTTTTCCTTCATGAAAAATGTCAAGCTTAAGACATGCTGCTGATTGCCTTAATAAGCTGTTGCAATCATATACAGCAACAACAATTTTGGCTCTTCTCCTCTGGCTATTATTTTAAGGTCAATAATATTCATATTCCCCCCATCAAATCTTAATATATAAGCAAAGAAGGAGAACGCAGGGATGTTAAATCTCCATTTAATGGGGGAGATTTAAGAATTAGTAAACAACAAGCCTAAATACAGACATGTGCATATGTAAATATATTTAAGATTAAGGGGGGAACGGACCTAGGTGCAAATAATTATAGGTTT